TGATAATGAGGATTATATGAATGATTATTTAATAAAAGAGTTTCATGTTTGATTTTTTTAAATGCTCCACTATCAAAATGACCTAGAAGATATTATTTTATATTGAATTTTAATTTATTTTCAATATTAACCTGTTGGATTGCTAACAAATTGTAAATTATTATTTGATGATTGATTAATAATATTAAATGGTAATGTTCCTGTTGAAGATGGTAGTGATGGTGGAGGAGGAGGAGGAGGAGGAGGAGGAGGAGATAATGTTCGATTTAGAGCATAAAAACTAGCATAATGATCATCAAGTTTTTATGATAGATTACGTTTTGAATCACACTCTGTAATAGACGAATTGGATGTATTATTAGCTGCGGCAGCAGCTAAACCCATTGTTGTTAAAGCAAGTGTTGTTGATGATGATGATGTATCATTATCAGTTGCTATATTAGGAGTATCATTATTATTAATAAATGATGATGATGATTGAGAAAATGTTGTATTATTTGATGAAGATGAGATTCGATTTATAGTGTTATTGGTTAAACTTGACCTTTTGCTTGTGTATATATGGTTGGTCTAAATTCAATTATTTGTTATTCATTGATAATGATTATTATTTTAGTAAGGAGGGAAAAGTGAATGAGTGGTTGAAATATGATTTGCTCGCTTCTCTCTCTCTGTCTCTTCTTTCGTCTTATATAATAATCATCATAGAGTTATAGTTTTCTAAGACTCTTAATTTGAGGTGACTAATTTTGTTCGACGATAAATCAACACTTATACTTATTAAAGAGGATAGAAGAAGAGTAATAAATAATTGACGACGGCAGATAAAATATATAAACCATATATTCGATGACTACTCGAATGCGAAACGAAGGAGACAACTTCTTAGGAAAGAAGAGAACTCACAAGAGCTTCAGCTAACGAATGAAATTTACTTCCATTAAGTTAATGTTGTTCCCACTCACTTATACTTCCGAACAACATAGCTCACAAGGCTCTTGGGAATCGATGCATTTCTTATTTTCCCTCTCTACATAGGCGGCGGAGCCACGAGGCCTGGGCAGGCACGAGCCTACCCCAGATTGGAGGAGGGTAGGCTTTGGTAGGCTCAGATAAAGGCTTGGGTAGGTTCGAACCAGTACAGATAAAGGCTTGACTAGGCTCGATTTAATGTAAAATTTTTCTAATATTAGATAATTCTCATGTTCTTCTGTCAGATGACACATTATTACAAGGTCAGTCCACATCTTATTATTACAAACTGGTGCCCAGTGACATACTGATTGGTTTCGTTGACGTCTATATTTACGTCGAATTCTTTATTTTCAATATAAGATAATTTAACTTTTGTTCTAAACTTCTATTCAAAATAACTTTTGAATTTTAAGTAATTAAAGAACAGTACTCTTCCATAGGCAGTGGAGCCATTAGGCCTCGGTAGGCTCAAGTTCATCCTAGACTGACTGAGGGTAAGCTTCAGTAGGCTCAAACTTGGACAGAGTAAGGCTTTTGTAGGATCTATTAAATGTGAAGGTTTTCTATTATTTCTAGTTTTCCAGTTTTTCTGGCAGATGGTACATCGTTATAGAGTCAGTGTCAGCCATAGGCGGCGGAGCCATTAGGTCTGGGTAGACTTAGCTCTACCTAGACTGAATATCTAAAAAGACGTTCATACACTCCATTCTACATAAAAATGTTATATTATTGCTAAATTTTCGTTTGCTTATAACGCATGATATATTATTACAAGATCAGTTTATTCTGTATCTGCTACCAATCATAGGCGACGGGACCACAATGGCTGAGTAGGTGAAAGCTCATCAAGATTCAAGTTTCATAGGCTAAGAGAGACTCAAACATTTGCTTCTCACTCTATCAGATTAAAAAACTTGCGTACTGCTCGAAAGTTTTTGCTGCCATCAGCGGTAACTGCTAACATTTTTAGGGAAAAAACTGAGTTTCGTATAACTAAGTGTTGCAACGTACATTGATAATGAGTTCACGTTATGCTCTTTTGTTACAAATGAAGAATCACCTTACAGGTTACTTACAAACATATCTGCTGGATGATGTCGAAATTCTCTCGCCTTTCTGCAGTTACTCTCAGATGCCAATCAAAAATTTTCAACACGCTGAACAAACCCACAATGAGATTCCTTTTCTGTGAGCACTGCTGGGTCGCCATAATTCTAGTTTCCACTAATACAAATCAAAAACTCTTTCCAATGTGCAGCTCATGAGATAGGTTCAGAATCTAACCAACTCTAGTTCTGAGCCTGGGTTTGAAATTTCTCTGTTGACCAGAGTCAGATCTGGATCCAGGCACAAATTCTCGAATTCAGACCTGATAGGCTCTAGCAGCACGTAAGAACTAGTTAAAACTTGGTTATTACGAGATTATCGTCAAAATTGTTTGAAAAATGTGTAGGGTGTGCTGGTTGCCCGAAAAATTAATAAAGAAAAATGTAGTATCTTTGAAATAATTATCAGATTGAGAAGAAAAAACTTGCATTGAGAGTACGAGCACTACGAATTCGGCTTCGGATCCTAAAATTTTGCATCCGATGGACTATATTTGAGGGTCACTATTTAATGAAAACAAAAGTTTAAGTAACTCTTTGAATACAAGTTTTTTGCCACAAGTTGCAAACTCACCTCTGATCTCTGCTAATGTTATGCATTAAAAAATTTGAGTTCGAAATAAATAGTATTGATTGTATTTTATTTGAATGACATAGCATAAAAAATTACCCTCTCTATCTTTAACCTGTCAGTAAGGCTCGTATAAAAATATTGAGCCTACCCTAGATTCAAAACGCTCCGCCGCCTATGCCTCTCTAGTTCGATTTTTTTTCTCTTTTATTTTATTATTCAATAGAAAATTGTTCAATGAGAAAGACTAGTTATTATTGGTTGATAATAAAGAAGAAAAAAAGAAACTTGTTTTTTTGGGAGGAAAAAAAGAGGAAGAAGGAATGATGTGAAAGAAAAGAACGATATATTGATGTTCATGTTCGTTGAATGATTCGAGCAGATTTTATGCTCGTTAGGGTGCTACCGACTGACCATCGATTCTCAGATGACAATGCCAACGAACAAATTCCAATTAATTGAGCGATTGTCATAAGCGTTTTTTTTCTCTCTTTTCTGTTCATCTGTCTAGCGTTATGCTTTAGCCAGAAGAGCTAAAGATTCTCTCACTTACTAGACCACCTACTGTGACCATTCGGTAAAAATAGAAACTGCCAAATACAAGACACTTTTGGCTAAGCAAAACGATTTAAAATTAAAATAGAGACTATTAATATTACTTACGATATCAGAAAATGTGTGAAAGAATGACACATTATTTTTCAAACAGGTCACATTCATTATTCTCATTTCATAGAAATTATTTTAATAGGAAAATATAAAAGGTTTATTATGAAAGAAAATTGAAATAAATTGCTCAACAAATAAAATTAATCGAATCGCATTGCAGATTTCTAGAGCAAGACTAGTACTCCTGATTTGAAAGTATCATATTAAGTCTTTGTTTAAATCTTTAACAATTCTTTAATGGTATTACTGTAAATTTTGCCATTGACATGTTCTGTCTTGCAACACAAGTAAAGAAACAATGAAGTATATGTTCTTTCCTCTTCACAGCCGAATATAAAGAAAATAATACGTTAAAAAAGCTATATTTATTTTTCAGTCCTAAAAAAAACACATTTGAGCTCATACAATGGTAAATAATTAGACCAACATCTTTATTCTAAATAATTTCTTTTCTAGTAAAAGAATTTTCTCATCATTTTCATCATATTCTTTTTTCTATTTTCGAGCTTTATTTCAACATAAATCAATCTATTTTTAATATGTTTAATTTAAACAATAACTCACAAAAATGAATGTATTTCTACAAGAGGAAAATAATCTTCTAATTCTTTAGTAATTGGAAATTCACCATAGATATGTAAATGAGCCAATTTACCACAATTGATTCGTGTTGCATCTCGTGTGAAATTCTGTGTTACTCTTTGTAAAGATTCATAATTGATATGAAGATAAACATTATTTGGCAAAGACATTTTGAAATCAAGTAAAAATTGTTCAGCATAATCGTCATGACTGTAATCAAGATAAAGATCAGTTAGATGAGTATATTTAATGATTGACAAATTCCGATTATTATTTCTTGATTCATAACATTGTTTATTACTTTGTGGTTCTTGATTATCTACTTTTAATTTTTTCATAAATGGAAATGATTTTTCAATTCGAATAAAAAATTCATGTTCAAAGGGACGTTCATCATATAATGATACTTCAGAAACATATTTGAATAATCCACCTGGAAAATTATTTGTTATATTATTATAATGTGATATCTTATATGGATATGAATAAATATGACATTGACCTTCACTTATACTTGGAAAAAAATCAATACAAGAAATAACTAAACTATTTTTAAAATCTTTGAATGTCTTTTGAATATCTTCATTTGATGGTAAATCATTTTGATTATCAAGAGATACATTTGAGTGAATGTTAAATTCGAATTTATTCAACTGCGGCATATTATTGATAATATTTTTCTTTAAATCATTACCATCAATAAATTTATCATCACGAATGGCTACAATATGTAAATCAAGTTGTTCCAGATTTGACATTCGTTGTAGAAGTGGTAGAATTAATTCATCATAATCAACTGTCAATCTATCACAATACAACGAAAAATATCTTAAATTAGGTAATTTTTCCTATTAAAAATAATATTATTAAATCATTTAAAGAAATTAGATATTAATCAAAATAATTTACCTTATTATTGATTGTTGAATCCAAAGAAACAGGTCGAGTAATATTAACATGAAGTGTCTGAAGTTGATTAAAGCGTCCATCAAGTAGATAAAGACAATCAGTGAAACATTCCACGTTGACATACAATTCTAACAGAGTTGAACAGAAAACAATTGGAGAAGAAATGTCAAATGATAATCGTGGAAAATATATTGAAAATGGATGAAAATTTAAATATTGTAAATTAGTGAACACAATAAAGATGTGTGTAAATACAAGTGTATCCATCTTT